ACTGAGCTGTATCAACACTGGATGTCTGTCTGTTTTATTTTCATGTTCAGAAGTTACTTCATGTAACCATGCTTGTTCTGGCTCAAACAACATGGCCGCTCAAATTTTCAAAAAAAATCCGAGAAAAAATCATGTAAATACTAAGTTAGGACATTAGGTAAGCGTAATACTCGATGTAGAGCACATGTGATCATATCGCATGTAAATTGGCGCTGTGGAAATTATTTCTATGGGTTAACCGTACCATTAAAACACTTGTTAGGCGTGTTTTTTTTTTATATCATAGCGATATCTTAGATGTCATATGGGCCATTCCATTTAATGTCCACACCCCCCCTACGGATGAGTTTTTCTGAAGGGTGACTCAAAAAGTCGTTTCTGAGGGGTTAAGCATGTCGGCATCCTTTGATCTCTGCGATTTTTCTGAGGGGTAAGGGGAAAATTTACAAATTTCTGAGGGGTGTTTTGTGTCGGCACTTTGATCTTTTTTTCTTAGGGGTTAAAATTTTACGGACCTCATCCGTAGGGGGGATGTGGATATTAAATGGAATGGCCCTATCTCTGAAATGCTTATGTTGTGCACTCACATTTTAAATATGATAAAACACTCCTACGCGTGTTTTAGATGGTACTTAAAATTCGCACAAAGTTCACCCGACTCTGCTATCTAGTGATATTGGCGATAATATTGTGTAGTTCATTATGTATGCTAACTCGCATGGTTAGTTCATTATGTATGCTAACTCGCATGGTTACGTCATTGTCTTGTCACGCATGGCACCTAATAATTAAAGCGCTAGAAAGAAAAGTGAGGTGAACTTTATGCGCATTTAACTTTAACATAGGTTTAAGCGAATACGTACATTTCCTGGGCTCTGTGGTCCAGGCTGAACATGAAAGGGTGTTCACTATCTAGGGGGGGGGGCACACCCCTCTCTCCCCATGGTATTGGACACAAGTTCAGTTTGAACATGGGTGATCGTACAGCTGGCCAGAGATATTCAATCATTTTCTTTTAAGATTATTGTTGCAACTGGGAATTAGGCTAGAACATATAACTGGAAATGAGATTGATAAGGTGGGGTTGGGAAATGTGATCTATAGCCCCTAACCCGCTTCAGCCCCCTCTCATTCACAATTACATTGGCCCACCCCAAGAAACTATTTTAAAACTCTGCCCCATCTCCCAATCCAACCGGCCCACCCTCCCTCATAAATAATAAGCGGTTCCTCCTAATGGAACTTTTGTGAGACTATGTCATGAAAGTATACAAACATTACTTTTTTTGGTAACTACTTTACAGTGTTCTGGGAATTCAACCCGGAAACGAACGAGTACTGTGTCGCCGCAATTTTCAAGACTAGATCAGTGACTATATTGATCAGGAAATTTAATTGTCTGGTACTATATTGGTTAGAAAATTCTAATTTATCATCTGCAACTTTAATTGTATTTCAGCAAAATTGAATCGTTGCAAAAAAGTCAACACTATCCCCAAGGAGGAAATTTCTGCTATCCGAAGAGGGAGGGGAGAAAAGGTTGTTTCTGATAATAGTGAATGTACTAGGATGTTCGAAGCTCTAGGGTAAAGGGGTTAATTTAATTTCCTCTGTGGGGATGTATGGATGTTTTCTGGAATGATCCAGATTGTTGAGAAAAATAACATATATGCCCGAGTCATGTAGATGGCACCCCCTTTGCAAACCACTGTTTAATTCAAAAGATGGAAAATGGGGTCTAATGATGTGGAATATTATAATTACTGCATATATTTCAGAGCATGCAACTCCATTCACAGAATATAAAGACACATGCACTCAACGACTAACATGAAAATATACAACAGCTATATAATCCATTTTTTTCTATACAGTACTAAATTCGTTCCGAACACGGACACTGTTTTTTGTTTTGGAATTTTTAGATATTTTGCCAAATGAAAAAATGCATAATCACCCGAGGAAAACCAGAAGTGCCATGCACGGTTGCTGTCGATGGCGAGATCTGGTGAAAAACCTTGACGATTACGAGTCTGGATACCGAAAACCGCAGGGAGGACCCCGCCCACTTACACAGCCGAATTAACTATAATATATACCATACCTATACCCATACCTACCAAAATCCAGAAAGGTAAAAATCTTGAAAAAAAAAAACCCCTAAAAATCTCACGAGATGTTCAATAAAACATTGTAGACCACCCGAAAATTCAGTCTACAGATTGCGCAAGATAAATATCCCTTTTTATGAACAAATTGTTCCACATAAGGTTATTTATCTTAACCTTGAAACTTGAAAATATTTCAAATATGTTAAGGACAAGGTGCGTGGCAAATGAATCCAACAGCCCAACAGATTTTACGATAGTTTAATGTAGAAGGTGTTAGGACAATTGGATGCATTTTGAAGATGTGATGTGTGCATTTCTATATTTGGATTTTTGGCACATTTTGCTATCGCGCGCAAGAAAATTGCACCGCGCGCACTCAATTTAAATATAGCCGGCATGCACTGATTTTCATGCCCTTAATATTACCTTTGGATTTTGGTTTTTGGATTTCAGATTCTAAAAATTCGGGGGGTTTTCGATTCCCAGTTTAAAGATTCGGAGGTTTTTGGATTCCGGATTTAAAGATTCGGGGGTTACCCGATTCCCAGTTTAAAGATTCGGGGGTTATTGGATTCCCAGTTTAAAGATTCGGGGTGTTTTCGATTTCCAGTTTAAAGATTCAGGGTTTTTCGATTCCCAGTTTAAAGATTCGGGTGTTTTTCGATTTACAGTTTAATTAAAGATTCGGGGGTTTTTGGATTCCGGATTTAAAGATTCGGGGGTTATCCGATTTGGGGTTTTTTCGATTCCCAGTATAAGGTGGTCTTACACCCAAAATTAATTCGGAGGTTTTTGGATTCCAGATTTTAAAGATTCGGGTTTTTTTCAATTCCCAGTTTAATTAATTAAAGATTCGGGGGGTTTTCGCTTCCCAGTTTAAAGATTCGGAGGTTTTTGGATTCCGGATTTAAAGATTCGGGGGTCATCCGATTCCCAGTTTAAAGATTCGGTGGTTTTTGGATTCCAGATTTTAAAGATTCCGGGGTGTTTTCGATTCCCAGTTTAAAGATTCGGAGGTTTTCCGATTCGAAGTTTAAAGATTCGGGGGTTTTAGATTCCCAGTTTAAAGATTCGGGGTTTTTGGATTCCAGATTTTAAAGAATTTGGGGCTCGGCGGTTATTCTATTCCCAGTTTAAAGATTCGGGGGTTTTCGATTTACAGTTTAAAGATTCCGGGGTTTTTGGATTTCGGATTTAAAGATTCGGGGGTTATCCGATTCCCAGTTTAAAGATTCGGGGGTTTTTGGATTCCAGATTTTAAAGATTTGGGGTATTTTCGATTCGCAGTTTAAAGATTCGGAGGTTTTTGGATTCCAGATTTTAAGATTCGGGATTTTTTCGATTCCCAATTTAAAGATTCGGCGGTTTTTGGATTCCAGATTTTAAAGATTCGGGTTTTTTTCAATTCTCAGTTTAAAGATTCGGGGGTTCTGGATTTCAGATTCTAAAGATTTGGGGGGTTTTCGAATTACAGTTTAAAGATTCGGGGGTTTTTGAATTCCGGATTTAAAGATTCGGGGGGTTTTCGATTCTCAGTTTAAAGATTCGGAGGTTTTTGGATTCCGGATTTAAAGATTCGGGGGTTACCCGATTCCCAGTTTAAAGATTCGGGGGTTATTGGATTCCCAGTTTAAAGATTCAGGGTGTTTTCGATTCACAATTTAAAGATTCGGGGATTTTCGATTCCAAGTTTAAAAATTTGGGGGTTGTTCGATTCCCAGTTTAAAGATTTGGGGTTTTTTGGATTCCCAGTTTAAAGATTCGGGGTTTTTGGATTCCAGATTTTAAAGATTCGGGGGTTATTCGATTCCCAGTTTAAAGATTCGAGGGTTGTTCGATTCCCAGTTTAAAGATTCGGGGGGTTTTCGATTTACAGTTTAATGATTCTGGGTTTTTGGATTCCGGATTTAAAGATTCGGGGGTTATCCGATTCCCAGTTTAAAGATTCGGGTTGTTTTCGATTCCCAGTTTAAAGATTCGGGGGTTTTTGGATTCCAGATTTTAAAGATTTGGGTTTTTTTCGATTCCCAGTTTAAATATTCGGAGGTTTTTGGATTCCAGATTTTAAGATTCGGGATTTTTTCGATTCCCAGTTTAAAGATTCGGCGGTTTTTGAATTCCAAAATCAATAACCTAGGTGTGTTGAAGGATAACCGTTGTAAAATAAGATTTTTAATAATAATAATAAAAAGATTTGGGGTTTTTCGATTCCCTGTTTAAAGATTCGGAGGTTTTTGGATTCCAGATTTTAAAGATTCGGATTTTTTTCAATTCTCCGTTTAAAGATTCGGGGGTTCTGGATTTCAGATTCTAAAGATTCGGGGGGTTTTCGATTTACAGTTTAAAGATTCGGGGGTTTTTGGATTCCGGATTTAAATATTCGGGGGTTTTTCGATTCCCAGTTTAAAGATTCGGAGATTTTTGGATTCCGGATTTAAAGATTCGGGGGTTACCCGATTCCCAGTTTAAAGATTCGGGGGTTATTGGATTCCCAGTTTAATAAAGATTCGGGGTGTTTTCGATTCCCAGTTTAAAGATTCGGGGTTTTCAGGCGAATTCCAAGTTTAAAGATTTGGGGGTTTTCGAATTCCAAGTTTAAAGATTTGGGGGTTGTTCGATTGCCAGTTTAAAGATTCGGGGGTTTTGGATTCCAGATTTTAAAGATTCGGGGGTTTTTGATTCCCAGTTTAAGGCTATAGCCATACTTTTTTGCCGAGTTTCGCCCCTTTTTGAAAAATTGAAAACTCACTGAGTGGCTGAAAATGGACGAACTGCAAATGGACAAAAAGTTAAGGCTATATATAGCCTTACTTTTTTGCCGATTTTCGCTCCTTTTTGAAAAATCGAAAAAGTGGCTGAAAACCGACGAATTAAGGCTATACCATTTTCGTCAATTGTTTAATTTTTCAAATAGTTATACCAAAAATGGCGAAATATTTTTGAGAAATTTTGAAGTGTTTAATAGAATAATTTAATACAACCAATAAATAGGAAACAGTAATAAATAATTTAGAAATGCTATCTACAGTAAACTTTGTTGGTGAATTTGAAATAGAAGTTTAGGCTTGTAAGACGGCGAAACGAACTCATGTGTTTACTTTCGTATGAATTTAATACAGTTCGAACAAGTAAAAGCAGAGCTTTAATTTTCAGTGGAATTTTGATCAACTCTGGTATAGGAAAATATACCTATCACGACTTGAAATCCTAGCGCACTATAGAGAGGTGAAAATATGCTTTTTGCCGTTGTGAACAGAACCTGGATGACGTCTGAAACTCTAGGTATACTTTTAATTATTCGTTTCTTTTGTGCTACAGGATTGATGACTTTGTCTTGATAGCCGTCGTCCTGACAAGCGTAAACTCGCTATTGTGTTGTGTGAATTACAGCGATACAGGATGTCCCAAAAAAGTATACCTTTCGAAATTTTCCTATTGTAATAATTTGAATGCCATGAGCATATGCTGAATCCTGCATGCGGAAGCGTCAAATACAGGGTGTATTGAAAAACGAGAACTTACTAAATAACTCTATATTCTTGTTAAGTACAAGATTTTCATCTCCTGGTAATTTAAAATAGCTTCTAATTTTATAAAAGGAGAGTGACTAGTCATATCATACAGTCACACCGACAGCTCGAGCAAAAATGGTCAACTAACCATGGAGCAAAGAGTTTTTACTGTTTTGCGCGCTGCGTTAAATTAATCAGCACATGCATCATTCATATGTTCAACATAGAAATAACTGCCATGCATAAAATTCGATTCAATTAGCCATTCTCACGCCGCCATTTTTGGGTGGCATTTCAGCCAAAGTCTGCGAGATAAGTAGTCCACATATAACAGCGACTTTTTGTAATTTTTTGGACGAATGATGGTAAATTTGCTTTGTAAATGGTTAGTTTATTTTGAAAAATTGCTTTTCACATTGTTTTAATTGTCTGCATTGGTTAACGAGCATTGGATGCCACCCAAAAATGGCGGATATTCGTCATCGTGAGAAAGGCTAATTGTGTTGACGCGCCGATGGATTCAGTATGGAACGCAGGCATTCAAATTATAACAAAGGCTTGGTTTCAAAAGGTAAAGTAGTTTTTTCGGGACACCCTCTATTTCTAATCCAACATTGCGTAGACCATTTGCAAATTACTGAAAAAAGTACATTATACAGTATTTATAAAAAAGGTTATCTAAATTTAGCACAATCGCGTGCGTAAGATACCGCGTTTATCGATAACATTTTTACACAGCGAGAAAATCCAGGCTTTTAGCTGTCCATTGATATCTTTTTTGTATCATTATGTGAGAAACTGGCCAAAAGTATTGAAACTGCATCTCATTTGGGTTTAAAATTCATGAATTTTAATTTAAGACCCTATAAATATATGCGTATAAAATTTAATAGCAGCTGCTTCCAGCTGATAACTAAATTTTGATCTAGACAAAAACAACAAAATCCATCACCACAGTTAGAAAGAGCATGTTAAAAATAGTAAAATTGCAAAGTTTGGTTGCGAAATGTTGTAAATAAGTAATTCAGTAATTCTGCAAATGGTTATACGTTTTAATACACGGATATACTTTCAGTCTTTCACTAATTTTTGCTTACCAACCTAAATTTTATTGCCAATGTTATTTAGCGTGTTCGTTAGTGCATGAAAAGGTTCAATTATTATATATAACCGTACTAAGCCTGATATAAAATTCTAAAACTACAAAACCAAAATGTTGCAAATTTCTTGCCTTCTACCTAAACGTTACTTTCCTTCATTACTTTGAGGCCGTCATTAATTTCAGTGGCGTCCCCGGCGGGATCGTTTTCCAGGGTGCGCGCCAGACATTTTGTGACCGCCTCCATTTGTTTCATCACGAGATGCATGGTACGTTCTGTTGTGTCGAGGCGTTTCTGTAAGTCGGCGAGGTGTTTCTGAGCTAGAAAATGAAATAGAAAATGCGTTATTCTGTGGTGGAAACTTAGCCTGCGAACAGGCTCTCTTTGAACTCTCTTTGAAATTTATTCAATTCAAAGAGCCTGTTCGCAGGCTAGTGGAAACTAGGTGCTCGGGAGTAATAAAAAGCGTTGTGGTAGCGGACTATAAATTAAGCTGTATGTTGCATGAAATTTAAGCCGGCTACAAAGTATAATTATTAAAAGGAGAATATTTTGTATGCTGTTTATCATCATTTATTTGCCACAACACAACAAGAACGTAGATATTTACATTAATTGTAGTTTGAGTATCAAAGTTGAGCAGTAGCGAGAAGACCTCAAGAAGCTAAAAGGCTTATATTAAGAGGCCATCTCATTTGTTAAAATAATTTTGTAATAAATAAATTGAGTGAAGAGGAGGCCTAGTGACAGTCGTCACGAGGCCCCCTAGTTCACTGTGATAACTCAGAATAAGATCATATCTTTGCACAAGTTCAAAACACACATACATTACTACATAATATACAAGTTAACTAAAACATGTCGATTTCGACGTCTATGCGATATTATAATTTTCAAGTAGGAAAATGCATAATTGATTCTTGAAAGAGGAGAAATGGTGGTTTTAGCTGTAATATATGGTGGAAAAGAATTCCATGTATATGGTGGAAAAGAATTCCATGTTACTAAATATATGAATATACTTTCCATTTGGTTATGACTATATTCAATAGTTTTTATTTTTCCACGTTTTTACACGTTTCTCAAGCGGCAAACCAACTTAAAAAGTATCTCTAGTGCTTTATCTGTAAAATTATGCTAAAAGCCTAAAATGAAGAGATTTTAGATGGTACACCAAAAGGGAAATGATGTCTGAAGTAGATTAAGTTTTTTGCTTATATTGTTGCCGTATAAATATGGCGTTAATTTTACAGCATCAATGATAATTGTATTTAAATTGACACAATTTAACTATTATTATTTTGTGTTTCTCAACCGCCAGGTACATGTAACTAAAATGTTGCTAACTGTGTAAACTACAAAATAAAGCTAAGACAAAGTAATTTTGAGAGGAACGCCAAAATTATGAGATTTTAGGTTATAATTAAACTGAGTCATACTTAATTCTTATACTCTTCATAAGACGCAAGTACTTAATTATTATATTCTTTCAATTTTGAGCTAAATTCAGTATTGATACAATATATATATCATTTTATCAAAAAATTACATATATCACAGTGATATATAACATTTTAATTTTGTATGGGACGTAGCACTAGTGGGTCTGCATATATAAAACTTTTATGTATGGTAAATAGTTTCACTCTAAGAGGAATACAGTTTTATAACGATTTCTCGTTCTTTAAATGAATGGATATATAGCCATAGGTCCTGATGAGTTCATATAAGCATTTTATCAGCATAACATAGCGAAGGCATTGCCGTTCGTTTCGTATATAAAACCCGCCGGCTTCATTATACAACAATATTATATATGCCCCTCATTACAATAACAATTTTGACATTGCAAAATTATCGAAATAATTTTACTAAAAAGCCTTACTTTGAACGAGTTCGTAGGTTAGTTCAGTGACCAAAAGCCCTATTCCTTCATCGAGTGATTTTTCCATGTTGCATGATATGTTTCAGATCGTTCCGTACACGAAAATTTCAATTTTAAGATTTAAATCTTATCAATAATTGAATGTTCAGGAACATTTTAAATGAATATAGCAGTTGACTCGGCGCATAATTCTTAAACGAAGGCAGGTGTTTTTCGAGTAGGTCTATGACAATGGGTATTTTTTATAATTTTGCATATGTTTAAAAAGTTTGTCAAAATTATATGTTTGAGGGAGCTGACTCTGTGTAAACATCAATGCAATCTTTTTTAATTGTCATTGATTGTTCGTACAATTGAGTATAAAATGATATTAATAAGAATTATTACACCTGTTCTTGAAGTATTAATGAAAAATCACACTTGTGATTGTCTGATATTACCGATCTTGTTACGCACTCACGGTAAAGTAGTATATATTTTTCACCAAACACGCGTGCGATATTTCATTAATACTTCTCGGAGCCAAGAGGGGCTACAGGAAATTTCTGAAAAATTCAAAAACTGCCTCAACTGACTCGAAACTTTCTAAGAATTGTCAAAACCCATTTCTTTCATCAAAACTATCACTTTCGAGTGATAAAATGTTTTGAAAACGTTTGGTCAAATGCAAAGGGGGGACCCACAGGCAAGCATAGGGTGAACAAAGGGGGGACCACAGGCAAGCATAGGGTGAACAAAGGGGGGACCACAGGCAAGCATAGGGTGAACAAAGGGGGGACCACAGGCAAGCATAGGGTAAACAAAGGGGGGACCCACAGGCAAGCATAGGGTGAACAAAGGGGGGACCACAGGCAAGCATAGGGTGAACAAAGGGGGGACCACAGGCAAGCATAGGGTGAACAAAGGGGGGACCACAGGCAAGCATAGGGTGAACAAAGGGGGGACCACATGGAATTTTTGAAAAACATTCACCCACCAAACTTTCTGAAAATTGTCCAAAACCATTTCTTTCATCAAAACAATCACTTCCCACTGATAAAAATATGATTTCATTGAAACATTTTCATGAAATGCAAAGGGAGGAAGGCACAGACAACCCTAGGAAACGATACATGAGCATCTAACCAAAAAATGGCCCATTTATACCTGAGCTTCCACCTGAAACACTCAATTTTTGAACTTCCTTGAGTCTGTTCACACAAGAGACAGTTGCAGCCAACAAGTCGGTAATTCGTTTCCCACACGATAATTTTTCTATATCAACCTCGGCTAATCGCTTCTTAACAAAGTCGCAGCTGGGGTAATATTGGTTATGCGAGGATAACGGGTCGTCGTCTTGTACCCATTCCTTAAGAGTGCCTTTACATTTAAAACATTCAACGACATCCCCTCGGCCGGTGTACTGAAACCCGGCCCGTGCCAAGGCAAATATGTTGACGGTATTAGTTGAGGACCATTCGCAAAATGTTTGGATGCGGGCACCTATGTCGCCACTCTCATTGTCCGTTGGTACAGGGGTAACAACAGGTGTCACGACTGGAGCTGGCACTGGAATCACTGTAGGTGTCACTGGGGTTATGGTTGCCGGTGGTTGGTTTTCTGTCAAAGAGTGGTATGCATCCAGATTAATTAAGGGGGATTATAAGTTAATGTGTCTTGGCCATTTGCCATGTGATATATTAATGCATCCTTTTGTGAAATTCTAAACTGTTGTTATCATTCGATATGCCATGTTTTTATACGGTATGTTCAAGTTTGGACAAGTTCTTACAAAACAATAATTAACTCAACAAACTGAGTGGTTACAGCTTGCTCCCATTACATGGCACAAATTAACATTTCTGTTCGTATCATCAGCTGAGAATAAACTAGCTGGCGCACCACATTTTTAATTAACATTTGGAAACAGGGAGCGCATACTGCATAAAACTTTTGCTTTGGTCAAAAAATTTAGTGGTTAATAACTTATGTGTATGTCATACACAACACAAGTATATAACAAATTAATAACTGATTTAGGAATATGTACTGGGTGATAGGATGCATACCACATGACAAGAACCAAGCACGGACAATTTTAACATTATATTGAAATTCATTCATTCATAATCTAGTCTGGTCTACTCAGTCTACAAAGATTGATATTATCTTAATGCCTGTTGCTATGTCCCTGCACTAACTTATCCCAGGATACAACCCCAGGTCCGAAATTTGCAGTATCCTGGTGATGGATACTATTTTAGCTGGTGTGAAATTTTGGATGCCTCATGATGTCGAAACCTTGGTGTCCAATTTGAATACCCAAGAGGGTCAGTTGCCTGCCTAGCTATAAAGCCTGCTCGCAGATGTTGTAAATACAACATCTGCGAGCAGGCTAACCTAGCTAATTAAGCCATTCAAAAAAATTTATGGACAATTTTAGTCCAAACCCCAGAAAGTCCAAACCCCAGAAAGTTATTTAATACATACCTTGTTCGGGTGTCAGTACAGGTCCCCCAAGTGCTTTATATTGCGCTGCAAGTTCCGCTTTTCTTTTCTCCTCGGCTTCCTTCTGTTTTTGCATCTTTTTCTTACGCCTCTGAAAATGAATAAAAATGTAGATTTTTTACTGAAGGTATGGAAGAAAAGACTCGGGGTACAAGTTGCCCGGGCATATATCCCGGGCATGGTATTCACTCAAAAATAAGGTGGTCATATACATGGTGCAAACCTAGCTCTCTGATTGGACAAGTATAATATTATGGCAAATAAACATATTATCATGCAGGAAAGACAAATGAATATTGTAGACCTCCAAAAATATAACACCCCTCCCCCCAAGTATAAGCCCCTGAGTGCATATATATACCCACCATATTCACTAACACTCATTAGGCCATTCCAAATATAGGTCCTCCCGAAAATATAAGCTCGTCCGTGTACAAGCCAATGGACATATTATTGGATAGGTGATTAACGCAGTGACTGGGATTCCAACAGCTCAGACAAGTGACAATAATTATGTTACAGATTATATAATATGTTAACCCATTGAGTTGCATTGCACCCTGATGCACCCTACTTTAGTATTTTACTCTGCCTAACGCCAGACGATTTTACTCGTCAAGGGGAGAGCGCTGGTGCTTAATGGGTTAACTGGCCTATCTGCCCATGTGTCTAGTTAACCCATTGAGTCGCATTGCACCCTGATGCACCCTACTTTAGTATTTTACTCTGTCTAACCCCAGACGATTTTACTCGTCAAGGGGAGAGCGCTGGCGCTTAATGGGTTAACCAACTTGTTTTAGAATATATACTGTATGTTTATATTTCTTTTCATTCACAGTAAGTTTGCACAATAAATATTAGTACTAACACCAAACATTGTCCGTATATAAGCTATAGCCCCCTCCCCTGTATATAAGCCCCTACCTCATATATATAAAGCCAGTTTTTCACTTCAATTGCATATCATACCGAAATGTGGCATATTTCTTTGTTTCCTGAGTGGTAGTGTGAAAATGATGAAAATGCTATGATACGCTACGATTGAAGTGGAAAACAGGCTTGAAAGCCCCAGCTCCCATGTGTAAGCCCTGCTGATTAGCTATAAGCTAACAGCTAGCGTTTATACTCAAGCAGTTTTCATCCTTAGACATAAACAACAGTTTTACATACAGAAATGACAAACACACATAAGGCTTGCCCTATAAATTATTAACGAATTACTGCTAGAATCACTTTCCTTAATAGTTAATATGTCTGGGCCAAACCTAAAAGCTTGTAAATTATCGTTTATCAAACACCCAATTCATTATTTTAAAATATACTATTATAACACACGATTTAATTATTTGTAGTCTTTATACATATATTATATATTAAGTAGTTAATAGGAAAATATTAAATTGATAAATTTTATATCAAAATAAAACGTTATTAATTTTGGTTTAAACGGTTCTAAAGCAATCTATAGTATTAATTATTACTCTAAAATGTCACAATTAGCAAAATTGCAACAATTATACGTATTGGAATCTTTATATTGTCACATTATATGCGTCTATAAACTTGTTTATTATATAAAACTATTAGCATTTAAATGATCTGTCATAAAAATTTATCAAAACCATCAAGCTGAAATATAAGTTTGTTTATAATTGTGATTTAGTTGCTTAGGCAAGAAAATAGATTTCTTTGCTTTCTTAAAAGTATAAAATTTTAAAGTATATTTGAGAAAATATTTAGGCATTTAAATTCTATCGAATGCGACCTGCAACCACAAGCAAATGGGCGCATTTATGTACAAAACTATAGCTGTATTATTGTACATTTCAGCATAGCATTTTATATAAAAATGTGTAATATTTCAAAGTAAAATTATAAATCACTTACTCTGACATACAGCAGAACCAACAAAACGCCCGCGACAGGCAAGATGAATTTCCAAGGAACGGGTTTTCCCAGGATTTTTAGATTCGCAACCTTCTTTCCAAACACGACAGCTAATTCGACTTTGGGTTTTACGTGTTTCACGTATTTTTGCTTGGCTGTTGGGTAAATATAGGCAATAACTGCAATTAGGAATGCCAAAGCAGCTAATTTTATCTTTTTGCCCATTTTAAACAACTGCAACAGGGCTAATCTTCCAAGGTTGAACTGACAAGCGTCTTTTCAGAAGCGTCGTGGTTAAAAAGTTTGTTTACATGTGTGCCAGCGCATGCGTTTCAATTCTGACGCGAAAACCCGCAAGACAGAGGCAGCCAATCAAATCTTTGCATTCTGGTGGTATAAACATTGTATTAACCAATCAAAGCGAAGCTCGTCTTGTTATGAAGGTCGTGTCCGGCAGGTACTTGTATTTAAAGCGGTTCCACCTCAAATGCCGAAAGAAAATTTAAAGAAATGCGTACAAAATGTCAAGTGTATTTGGCTTGATAGAATCAATTATTTAATGTCGAATGACACAGAGTGTGGTTGCCCGAGTGGTAGGAAGTGCTCGGTTTTAGACTGTTCTCCCTAGATATCGTTCTGCAAGGGTCATCCCTGTATTACTCCAGTGTTACTAGAGGAGGAAACCTAAATGGAGTTTCCTCACTGATCGAGACTTGCCTTTATACCAGCAAAAGGAAACAACAGGAAGAAAATGAAAAACTTATATGTTTATTTCTATTAAAACTATTCTTCTACACAACATGCATAAATTACAAGAAGAAAACATGCAATATTTTGTGATGATATAACTACAAGTTGTAAAATAGAGAGCAACTCAGCAACACAACCTCGTCTCCAGGCTCTTTGGATTCCACAGCCACCGAAACGTACTGGTGAGCATGCGCAGATTGAAAAGAGGTTTATAAACACGTACTTCCGGGTGTATTCGCGTATCAAAATGAAATTGTCGCAAGTCAACTTTTTGTCGTACTACGGAAGTACTAACCAATCAACATTCACGAAATTTTGAAATTTAAAAGGTTTTTGATACGTTTCGGTACGGGGCCAGTACGCTTGAACTGGAAAACCGGCTTAATTAAATCGGGGGCACATGTGATGTATTCCTATAAACCTCTGTATTCCTACCAATTACACCCGAGCACAATTAACTACGCATGCGTGAAAGTAACAGTGAAATGAGTGAATATTAAGATATGGCAAGAGTCCAGATTAAATAACCCTGCATTGTACACACAATCTCCTTATCATCCATTGCTGTAAATATTGATTGTTTAAAGCTATTAATGTGAATAGCTCAAATCAAGTAAAATTCTTTCGTATCTTGATAAAAAGCTGTATAATAGTTGACCAACACATTGTCTTAATTAAGGCTGATTACACTATCAAAGGTTCTGTCATTCTGTGATCACAGTAGGAATTTTGCATAGGTATTAAAATGCTAAGTTTTGAATGATTTGTAAGAAATGTTTGAGGGAATGAACTCAGTATTTAAGAGTTAACAGCGCAGTGAGTTCCCTCAAACATTTCTTAAATTTACTTAGAATTTACGGATGCAAAATTACAATTTTGATCACGTACAGAAATATTGATAGTGTAAACAGTAATTTTTAAACTGATTTAGGTGTGTACAAATACAATAGCCAAACCGGGCCCCGGGAACAGTTTCAGATAAGCGAGTTAGGCTTTCCCAGTGGGCTTTCCGCTTGCTCGCGAGCTTTGCCGAAAGCCTCCGATGAGAAATTAGTCGGTTCGATAATACTATTTAAGACCCAAACAAAATTCCCTTGCAAAACCTCGCCTGTGCCCTAGATTTACAGTAAACACGATTACAAGAAAACTACCCTTAGCAACGCATTACAATGTGTCTATTTAAACGACACATGCTCATTACAGATGTTTTTAAAAATACGCAAATTCGGCGAATTACAATTACTTCGCCGGAAATGAGACCTCCAAACGGAAGTGAATTGTTCTTGCATAAATGCACCGAAAAAGCAAATTATTGTACACGGAAAAGCCCACTTTCGCTTCAAAGTACAGAGTAGAATTGTGGAATAGCTTCTGCAATGCAATCTAGCCGTGAAAAAAGGGCATAAAATATTACCGCAACATATGTTTTGCATGCATAGATTTTTTTTGTTTCGTCTTTACTGCGAACTGACATCCGGCAAACCTTCTTCCAGGAATCGGCAATTTTGGGAAATTCCGAATTCGGCGTTTATAAATATAGGGGTTTACCGAGACACACGTTCAGTTTAAACATTGTTGTACTTTAAAAAATACGAGTAGTTGATGATTTTTGAGTCTTGGTGAAAAATGGAAAATTTTAGATCACAGCCTGGTTTAAATTGTGACGCAGGGGCAATGTTTCAAAATTTAGAATTGGACTCTCCAGGCCTATATAATTTCAATGACTGGGTTAGTATTATTAACCTCTATCTATCATTTTACTACACGTGTGTAAAATACGGTTTAAAGCTTACAGTATAGTTAAAGTTTTGGCAATGTTGACGTGGGTATAGCTAGTTTTCTACAATAATCTGCCGTGGTTGGTGTCTGATGATCTACCTGAAAAAGATTACAATACTCTACAAACGAAGGGCATTTCGAAACGCAGAACTCTAAGAGATTTACAGTAGCTACTACACGCTACAACACCCTAATTTGTCAAGTGGTAAAGCGGGTTAGGTACTCAAGATTCAAGAACATGACGCACGACCTTCGCTCAACATGCCAAGATCGCGTTTTAATCTTTTCAAGACTTTTCAATCTTTTCAAGTAGTGTGGATACAAATGTTGGAAAACCTATAGTTTACTCTAACGTTGTTTATCTCTACATGTTCAAAATCAATTTCGGTATTTGAAACCTGAAACGGGAAATGTCAATTTTGACCTTTGTGAACATATACGCGGTCTGTCTGTCTGTGTAGGTGGGATGCAACAACATGAAAATACAAAGAGAAAGAACTTTCGAAGAGGCCTATCGAAGAAGAAAGAACGACGAAGGGCCTTCGCTCGAAACGTCGAAATTCTCATTGTATTTTTCGGGTAGTTGTATCCCTATCAATGCGAAGTTTGGCAAAGTAGTTAAAATCGGGAATGTCAAGTGCCAGTCCGGTAGGGAAGAATAGCATTTGCGGATTTCTGTTAAGATGAAACTAGTTGTTTTTTTTCAACAGATGTAAAAGTGCTTCAAAAGTTATAAAATTACGGATCTTCTTACGTCTTCACAATTTAGAAACAGAAACTTGAATTTATAAATACTAAAGTTCAATCTGGGTTATAGCAAATAACAGACAATTTACGAAGCCTTGTTTAGGATTCTTCCTGTAGTATAAACACTGGATCAATAAGAGATGATTCTTACTGGACCTCTAGTGAGAACAGTTTAGAACTGATGGAATTATCCAGTATAAATAAAGTTAGTTTAGTTTAAGTTTCCTGCTGTAGTAACACTGGATCAATAAGAGATGATCCTTACTGGACCTCTAGAGAGAACAGTTTAGAACTGATAAAGCTGTCCAGTATAAATAAAGATAGTTTAGTTTAGGTTTCCCCCGGTAGTAACACTGGATCAATAAGAGATGATTCTTACTGGACCTCTAGTGAGAACAGTTTAGAACTGATGGAACTATCCAGTATAAATAAATCTAATTTAGTTTGAACATTTCATAATTTCTTCTGTATGTAAAGACACCAAGTCCAAGACCTTGCAAAGATGTTCTACGTCAAGCTATACGAGTAAACAGGATCAAGAAAGGTCAAGTCATGCCAGTAATTGATAAATCAAGTACAGTGCCAAAGAAGCGAAAAAAGGTAAGATATTCCCCCATCTCATTGGCTGAGTTCCCTGAACAAGTTCCTACGCGATAGGTTTTTTGAATGAGTTCCTACGTGACAGCCTTCGACAGGAAGGTTAAGGACTTGGTGTATCTGTACAAGGCTTTGTTTGGTTATATGTGAATGTTGATGTCAGTAACTGTGTCTCGTTTGTCAGTCACGGTCGAACTCGGCTGAGTAACACCTCAAAGTACATTCTACAAAGTCAAATTTGTAGAACAAGCACTTTTCAATCTTCGACTTCGTACTATAATCGTGTTGTTAAAGTGTGGAACATTGTATGTAAATATGTTTGGACACTGTGTCTAGCCCTAGTTCTTTTAAATGTTTAGTTAAACGTAGATACTTTAGTATTGTTGATTCTATTTATGATGTTGACTTGTTATGTACGTGGTCCTTGTTTCGTGACTGTTCGTGTCATAGGACGTAAATTGTGGTGCACTAGGTGTGTGCAGAGTTGACGAGTTGTGTGTCTAATGTTATATAAATTAGTTTTAATAACGTTTGGGAAGGTATCTTGCATGGTTCTTTGAGTCCCGTTTATACCTTGTCCATTTAGGGTCTATACTCTATTAATAGTTTGATTGAATATTTTATACGTTTTCTTTGCAATATATGATTAATATATGATATTTTTTGAACGAGTTCCTACGTGATGAGTTATTTGAACGAGTTCTTATACGTGAAGATTTCGCGACACACCTTATAGTCACAAACCATGTCATAAGGTATGCCAAAATCCGGCATTCCTTATATGGGCACAAACACATGACAAAGAATTCAGGGGCACATCTGACATTTTGGGGTTTTTTGGCAGCCAATACAAGGTGACATTCCCGAAGACATGCAATTAAGACGTCAGAAAAACAGAGAGGCCGCGAAGAAATGTCGTTTAAAGAAAAGAAAAGTTATGGAAACACTGCAAGATGTAAGGACATGCTAACATATACTCTGAATATAGCAAAATAAAAGGCTATAGAAGCTAAATTTATAACACAATCATCCTCTGGGATACGAGATTAGTGTAGCCAGAATTAGGCCACATAAAAAAAAAATAGTTGGTTAGCGTCCCCGCCCGCCCACAAAAAAGGCCCCGCTCAGGATTTTTTTTTATTTTTTATTTAAAAAAACACGACTTTTATTGATCAACGGGCTCTAATATATGTAGTATTTCTGTTGACTGTAGTCAATTGTGTTAATAATTTGCGAAATTGCGTGCGAAAGTGACGGTATGAATTATATTTTGAAATATATAAAAAAATATCTGTACTGCGCAAGAAAATCCAGTTTCGGACCTAACAGTGAGTAAAACCAAGGCGTTAAAAATTAGTAAAAATTAAAAAAAAAAGCGCCCGCCCGCCCACTTTTTGTCAAAAGCTAAGGACGCTAACCAACTATTTTTTTTATATGGCCTTAGTATGTACGAACAGGGAAACATATTTCACTTTTTGAGTAACTAGCACTCTTTCTTTGAGTAAAAATACTCATATTTTGAGTGAAATTACTCAACATTTGAGTATGGAACTCGTTTACTCAAAAAAAGCAGTCACTATGGGTGCATTTTTCTTGAGTAACTAGCACTCCTATTTTTGAGTAAATGCGTATAATCTGAGTTATTACTTTTATCTCATTTTTTCGAGTAATTTTTACTCACATTTTACGAGTTACTTTTACTATGGGTACATTCATTTACTCGATACTTTGAGTGCATTCTACTCAGAATTCTTTCAGTGGACAAGAGAGAACATTGAAATAAAAGGCGACTATTTTCCCAGTATAGATTATGAAAAGCCTTACTGTAATCAGTAATTAAAAACTCCTTCGCATAAAAAAACTTGCACTGCGCTAAAAGCATGGCCTTAACTCTTAAGCCAAAAGCATGGCCATACTGTGTGGGCTTTGTGACCAATGGTACCGTGGTCCTATACTTTTCCCGCCCCTGTGTATAAACAGTTTTTCTGTGAGCTAAACTATACTTAATTTTTCAGAAAATTGACAAGTACGAAGGGATGAACAGTACGTTAGAGAATGACATTCAAAAGTTCAAAGACGAAGTAAAGAAGCTGCAATGCTTGCTCGACCAACACAACTGTAGCAAGATGGCAAAACCTCAACAGGAATGTCAACAAGTTGACCTGGGAACATCAAGTCATCATCATAGTGTCACACAACATGAAGTACCCCCAGCTGAAGACATCGCGGACTCACTTGATGATTTGCTCAGCGAACTGCAGGACAATGACCGCTGGTGTGAAGAACTACAGCACTTCATGTAAGGATCGTAAACTGGTTTACAGTTCAGAATATTTTATACTACTTTTGTTGTGAAAAGTTAAACTCTATCGTTTTCAATGAAATACGTAATACCTTAATACGCTTAGAACTTCTCAATTTTATAGAGAATACATAGATGTATAAATTTCTCAGTTTTAAAGAGTGAATAGTAATCTCTCAGTTTTAGAGAGAATTTTATATTTTATATGTATACTTGTATACGTTTTTTGTAATAAATTCGATTGTTCGAATGTTAGTTTAATATTTGTGTAGATTTTTGTGTACATTTTGGTAAAGGTATAGTCCAAGTTAGATTTACTCTAAGTCGCCGATAAGGAAGAAAAATTAAGAGCCTGCACCCGTTCCGCACGTTTTGACCACGTGTTTTAACCAATAATCTAATGTAATTATAAACCCGATTGTATGTAATAACTTATTGGGGAAACTCAGTTAAAACGTAATTTGGATATGATCTGCGCATCTAAAGACAAAACTACAAGCATTGGACAAGACTTGTTGTTATAAATGTAATCGCCCAAAAATGGTCATCAAGTTTGGATTACTGTCAGATTAAGATTAGAGTTACATTAAGATCATATTAGGGTTAGAGATGGAGTTAGATTAGGGTTAGGTTCATCTATCCCAATAAGTTATTGCATACGATCGGTTTACAATTACATTAGATTATTGGTTACAACGTGCGGAACGGCTGAAGGACTATGCAGTTATGTAGTTATGTTAAGAAATTTTGCGGCCTCTCACCAATGTCTAAGCATAATACGCCAAGTTAGTTTTCTTCTTGGCTTGAACTTCCAAAATACCTAGAAATAAAGAGACCATATGTTTGTGGGTAGTATCTCGAACCGACTTCGTAGCTCAGTTGGTAGAGCATTAGCACAGAGTACTAACCATAGAGAGGTCTCACTTCGCGAGAAAAACGTAAGGTACTTTTTACTACGCATACTGTATCATGTTCTTAGCAAGTGCCATAGAGGTATTTCTTAGCAAGTGCCATAGAGGTATTCACCCCTGGAACATTAAATTTCAATATGTTTTCAGGGGGGTGACGGCCTCTCTTTAGTGCACTTGCAGGCCTTAAAATATCGGTCGGTCACGGACATTGTCCGACCCATTCGTGAAATTGACCGACGTAGAAAGGAAACCACCGGACATTCTGTCCGACCAAGGTGAAACTGAGGTTTATTGTTTGTCCGACCCGAGTGTATTGGTGTCCGACCGAACTGTAGCTTTGTCCGACGTAAATCAAAATGTATCCTAGCCCAGGACTAGAGGCTTGTATGTTAAATGAAAAATCAGAGTACTATTGTATAAAAGGTGAACTGGAAATGTTGTTTTAATTAACGTAGTCGAGCGTGGGGCGGCGAGCGAAATGGTGAAGTGGAAAACGGGCTTAAGTTGTCGAAGTCTTTTTTTAATACTGCTGTTCTGGAAAGCAAGTTAATTTTGGCTTTGAAATAAGTATGAAAGGAACAAATTATTTAATATCTTTACAACATTTACCATTTATTCATTTGTGTCATTCAGACTTATTTCCGAGTCAAAACTGAACTGAAGGTCATCGGACATATGTCCGACCCAAATTCAACGTCACCGGACATTTTGTCAGACGGCCCTGTAAAAGATATTTTAAGGCCTGCAAGACTTGCTAAGAACATGGCGGACTGGAAAAACCCCTTAGGTTGAACCTAATAAGAAGTGAGACCTCTGTATGGTATTTATTGGCATTGGACTAGCACACCAGAGGTTGCGGGTTCGATTCCCATCGCGATCAAGCAAACTTTTCAGCTTATCCGTTGTGATCACACTCAGAGAAACATCATAAACATATATCTTTACCTGAGTGCATGACACCAGGAACAATTAGCCATTCCGAAGTTCATGAGAGGACTGGGGACGAGTGTTAAAAAGTGCCCAAATTAAGAAATGAACCAAATCATTAAAAAGACCACCTCAAAATTAGTAAGTATACAAAGTTTGAAGACGTTTACATGAATATCCTTCGAATAATAAGCTTTCGAAAATTGTGAAATTACTGATTAAAAGATTGTTTTGGGGACGCCCCCCAAAAAAATTACAGTACATTTCGTAGTAAATATCACGACTTTCGAAAGCTTATTATTCGAAGGGTATTCATGTAAACGTCCTCAAACTTTGTATACTTAGTAATTTTGAGGTGGTCTTTTTAGTGATTTGGTTCATTTCTTAATTTGGGCACTTTTTAACACTCGTCCCCAGTCCTCTCATCAACTTCGGAATGGCTAATAATAAGATTGTAGATGGAGTGTAACTTTTATACATTCATTTAGACCTAATGGGGAACAGTTGCGAAAAATGCAACTACAGGCCCCTCAAACCTGCGACTCTGACCAACTGTGAGCTACAGAGTCCAGTTGTTGAGCTCTAACCACAAGTTTACGTATATATATTCAGGTGATGCCAGTGTCAGGCAGGGTGCGATAATTCCTGGTACAAAGACTACAAACTCAAGACTCTTTAGAATGAAGTACATAATGTTCATTCAGTGACATGAAACAGCCTGAAACTAGTATATTAGCTACGTATTTCGACCGTAAATTTCATACAATGATGTAACATATTGGCGTGAGAACAGTTAGGAACTTAGAACAGAAGTTGATTGACACTTACCATCCATATAATCTTCGTGGCCAACTTCAGTAGCACCTCGTCTTAATGCGATCATGCCCTGCAGAATATTTATATCAGTAAGTAAAGCTGCATGGAGTAATACGAGCAACAAAATTGCTGCAACTTGCAACAAAATCTGATTTCAACGCATGTTAAGTAGAAATGTTGAGACATGCCTCGTCACCCGATCACCTATATATACACGAACTTACGGTTACAGCTCAACAGCTGGCCTCTGTAGCTCAGTTGGTTAGAGCGCTGCACCGGAATCGCAGGGCCGTAGGTTCAATTCCTACCAGAGGACCTTGTGCTGCATTTTTCGCAGTCGTTCCTGGTCAGGTCTTAGAATGTATATATATACTCACTTGGATTACAAACCCTAAGAACAGCATTAAAATATGTGTCGACATTTCTACTTAACATGCGTAGAAATCAGATTTTGTTGCAAGTTGCTGCAATTTTGTTGCCCGTATATTACTCCACCTTTAGGAAATGACAATGTGCTAATCATTCATACTTGCAGCTGAGAGCTAAGCTGAATTACGAAGGACGCAGCTCAACCTGATCCAGTCGAAGGCTTTCTAAGGACGACTATATGGCAGCCACCTTGTGACACATCTCTGATCACGGAGGACAGCTACGGTGGAAGGGTCGGTTAGGGGGATAATCCCAACCCACCCTGTTCGCATTCCCTGTGGGAGAAAACCAGAGTACCCGGAGAACACCCACGACTTTCGGTAAAAACCCCCTTATCTGACACAAGCTAAGGCCAAAAAAAAATATGTGGGTTTCCGGTTTCTTCTTATAAAAACTTAGGTAGGGTAGGTCGGTTTTAACTTTTTTTTTTAAACTTTTTTTTTAATTTTCCGAACAAGCGGACGCCATTTTGTTTAGCCAGTGCTTCCACATCCAAAAATAAATTTCCCTAATATTTCCTCAAATTTCAATTTTCCACAAACTTTTTCCTCTAAGTGGAAACACTTACAAGCATGATCCAATAAAAAAGTTTAGGGTCGGGATTTCGACGTCCAAAAGCTAGGTAGGGTCGGGAAACCGGAAACCCACATATTTTTTTTTTGCCTAAGAGTATTTCCACCATGTTTGCCGATGACGTCGTCTCTCGAGCGAGGACAATGTCTAAATTATTCATATATTGTAATTACTCAATTCTTTTCAATGATCTATTGTATTGGTAGCCGTTGCCGTCGTGTTGCCGTCCTAAAATTGTAAGGTCTCTAATACAGTATAGTAGGCGCTACGCATGCATAAGAAGCCGGTTTTAAATGATACGATTTACATATTTTGCAATTTGAAAAGGCCGTAATTCACATTATCATGATTTTGAGGAAAGTTTGAAAAGTTTTTTGTTTTTTTTTGAAAGTTTTTTTTTTTTTCACGACTTTCGGTAGAGCGTTGACCGACTCTTTTCACGTAAGTGTTATGCATGAGTCCGTAGCGAAAATCAAACCCACGAGGCCACGATCTCAGAGGTGAAACTTGCTTGCTGGTATTCTTGACTGAAAATTAGATAGTCATATATAATAGAACAATTGTGCTACAATGGCACGCCAGTAGTTAATATGTATGGATTGTGTAAAATTGTATATCAGTTATGTGACGTGTAATTGTTTATTGCTCTGGCGATTAAAGGCAGAGTTCAGCTTTTTGATGATGAATTTGTACAATTTGTTATTGTCGTTGGGAGCGAAATTGGCAACACTTTTTGTAACTTTATGCGTTATTGTAAGGCATATTTAATTTTCTTACTTTCAAAATTTACGAAGCTTCACCCTTACACCTTATAGTACAAATATTCACGAACGTAATTGAAAATATTCGTTCACGAATTTGTTCAAAAATTCCATTTATCGTTACCGTTCATAAAATGTTGCATCGCGCCATGATTTTTATTTAATATGGAAAATGGGTGAAATATTAAAACTCTTAGGGGATTCCCCAACCACTTTCGATGCGTGTTTGAGGGCTGAAGGTTACAAATTAAGGTAACAGACTTACCGCTTCAACGCACACAGCTTTACACTGAGCACCATTGAAATCGTCTGTACATCTTGACAATTCTTCATAATTGACATCCGAGCTAAGGTAAATGAAGGCAATATATATTAAAGCGCTATCGTAAAAACTTTGCAATGAAGGATAAAAGTTAAGAATTCAATAGTTTATACCTGACATTCATTTTTCTTGAATGAATTTGTAATATCCGTGCTCTCGCTTCCTCGTTGGGATTTGGGAACTCAATCTTTCTATCAAAACGACCTAAACAACGAAATGTTAACCCACTGAGTTACACCAAACTTTATTATTTTACTAACTCAGAACGATTTTACTCGTCAATGAGGAGAGCGCTTGCGCTTAATCAATGGAAAAATGAGTCATCATAAATAAACATCAAACAATTTAATATTTTGGGTCTATAAGGTTCATACCATTTCGGATTTTAAAGGATTTAGAAAATCATCATGAACAAAGCTTCTCAAATTCACTGCGAAAATCAACTTAGCCCAGAACACCCCTCCCCCACAAAAAATATTTTGCGCCCCCTCGGAAAGTTTTCCCACCTCATCTAGAGAAATTTCCATCCACCCCCCCCCCAAAAAAAATGAATTAGACGCTAGTTAGATTAAATGACAGTAGCACGATTGAAAAAAGGATTTTGAACTACTGTATATAAGACCAACAATCTCAAGAGACAGACGTACCAGATCTGAGTAAAGCAGGGTCGAGAATATCCACACGATTGGTCGCTGCAATCACCTACAACAAAAGTATGTTTAGAAAATCACTTTTTACGAATCCAGGGTTTCTTTCAGGGATTTTTTAGGGCCCCAAAAACTCAATCTTGAATTGAGTTTTGAAACTCAATCTTCTCGTCAAAAGATTTTGTGCAGTAAAATGAAGTCGTTTGAGTTAAATTCAGTTAAATTCATGACGTGTGCAAATTAGTTTTCAGTTGAAAACCCGAAAATTAAGTAAAAAAAGGCTGGAATTCATTTCACATCACAAGAAAAAAACAACACATTCGCCGTCTTAAACCAGTTTATAGTGTCCCTTTGTGCCTCTGCTTTAACACATTGCATCTCAAATACACTAAAGTGGGCACAGGTTTCAACCTCCCGGTAGGGGGGAGGGGGGAGACAGCCACCCCAGACCCCAGCTGTTCAGCTAAACTCAATCTTCTCTGCAAAACGGACCCAAGAGAAAATCCTTAAAAAACCCTGGAATCGTGTTGATAATTTAATGGTTACAAGATATTATTAGCTTTCCAAATTGAAAACCATGGATTTGATAATGAAATTGGCACATCCTCTTGAACCCCCCAGTAAATCCAATCCTGTTGCTAGGTTCGTCCACTAGCTCGCCTCCCCAAGATCGCCTCGCCTCCAATCTAATACAAGTTTGCCTCCAAGTGAGTACAAGTTCCCCACTGACAAGAAAGTTGAGAAATCTTGTGGTGAATATCAAACCCAATTTAATAAAAGAACATGAACTATATCGTGAAGACTGCTGATGAAAGCTCGGAATCAATATGCTTTCACCGTTTGTACTTTTTACAAACTTAAGACTTTGTTTTGCAAGCTTAAAAGTTTGCCTGGCCACAGTGAGAATCGAACCCACGACCTTTGGGATACTAGTCCAATGCTCTATCAACTGAGCTACGATGTCAAGTCGGTTCGAATTGGTGATATTTCGGAACTGAGTCTAGTTCCTTCGATATCAATGTATTCTAAGATATGATACTTTTTCCAGACTTTGTTTTGTAGTATATATACAATACTGTACAGCACCTTGATATTAAGGTGTGAACTAAAGCCATCCATTTGATTTAGGAGTTCCAACATAGTTCTTTGCACCTGAAATGCGTATCACAAATCACAATTGTAAATTGGTAAGCAAAGGATTGAAAGAAAGACATCAAGTACTTGTCAATAAAATTTTACCCACCTCTCTGTCGCCAGCTTTTTCACTGTCAAATCTCTGAAAACATAAATTTCATTTCAGTTTTATTTTCTAAATTGTTATTGTAAAGTCAATTTTAAAAACCATGCAATTGCAAGAGCAATTGAAATTGCAAGAGGGCTGTAAGAGGGGCAACCGCCCCCAATGATTTTTGAAAGCCTATAGGCTAAAAATTAAGTTATACATTGCATAAAATGCAAGGCAAAACAATTAAAAAAAACTAAGATTTCCAGCTACAAAACGTGGTCATATATTGTCTGTCATACTTTTGTTCCGATGGCATCTAACTCATCAATGAATATGATTGCGGGAGCTTTTTCTTTTGCCAAGGCAAATGCATCTCTGACTAGCTTAGCGCCGTCACCAATAAACATCTAAACAATAACAAAATGTTAATAATTTCTATGAAAATGACTCCTAAACAATAACAAAATGTTTGTAATTTTTCTACATCTAAACAATTACAAAATGTTAATAATTTCTATGAGAATGGCTTCACAGATTTGTGTACTGTACTGTACTGATATGTGAACAATGTCTTCAGCCAAGAAAATTAAGAACAGCTTGTGGACAAGGCAGTACACATGGCTTGTTTTTACAAAAAGTCTAAAATAACTAAATCAATGTGAATGAGTACTGTACCTGAACTAACTGTGGACCAGCCAACTTTAAGAATGTAGACTAGAAAACAACATATGGTCAAAATAAATAAGATATTCTTTAATATATAAATAAGATAGCCTTTCTAACGCCCGCCATTTTGGGGTGGCAATTCAGTCGAAGTCTGCGAGATAAGTCCACATAACAGCGACTTTTATAATTTTTTGGACGAATGATGGTAAATTTGGTTTGTAAATGGTTAGTTTATTTTGAAAAATTGCTTTTCACATTGTTTTAATTGTCTGCATTGTTTAACGAGAATTAGATGCCACCCAAAAATGGCAGATATTCGTCATCGTGAGAAAGGCTAATTAAGATAAGTTTTTCTTTAAGAAAACACAAACAGGAGTCAGGACGAAAGGGGTTGCAGTCAGTGGCATAGCCAGCAAAACAGAAGTGAGGGTGACAATGTATGATGTTATGAAGTAATTATTGGGTGGGTTGCTGTGAATGCTGAACCTGTGAGCATGCTAGAGAGGGGGGCACGATCTCCTGGGGAATTTTGAAATCGCAGCCCCGGAAATGCAATCAAATTTGCTACCTGAAGAAAAGATGGTCCATAAGAATTACTTCGAAAAACAATAAACAAGGCATTGTAAAAATAGTAAAATCTGCTCGCTTACTTAGCATTAACAAAACTTCCTTCCATTTATTTGTCTTGTTTATTACACAGTAGTTGTGACAAATTTGTCATTTGTCCCCCCCCCCACATTCTCAGATTTAAACATCTCTCAAAGGTGGTCTTAAAGGAGAGTCAAAGGGGAAAAAGGGGGGGGGGGGCTCATCCCCCCAGTCACTCTGCTTGTGGTTGCAGTAACCAACAAGCACACAATTCATGTTATTATTTTTACCTTAGTCTGTGCAGCACAAGCTCTTGCCATCAAAGTTTTCCCCGTGCCTGGAGGTCCATACAGTAACACACCTACATGGAAAAAAATAAATCCTTTCTGTGACTACTGTAAAAGCTAGCAAACATTTTCTGCCAATATTCCCGTATGCAATTGACTTGGTCTTTTCCATCATAAACTAAAGGGGAACAGGACTTGCTGACAGCCAAAATTTCTTGAAATAACATTGTTTATTTTTAATAATTAGTTTAACCCATTGAGTGGCAGCACTCTCTCCTTGACGAGTAAAATCATCTGGCATCTGGCAGATTAAAATAGTAAAGTAGGGCACATATTGCCACTTAAAGGGTAAACAGAATGCATAGGCAGATAGTCTGAAGAACCCATTGAGCGGCAGCACTCTCCTCTTGACGAGTAAAATCGTCTGGTGTTAGAGTAAAATAATAAAGAAGGGCACATCAGAGTGCATTGCCACATAAAGTGTTAATACAGTGTATGCCTCATGCTTCATCAATTTTTAAGTAGAATCTGTTTATTGCACAATACCTTTAGGTGGCTTTATGCCCAAATTTTCAAATCGATCTTTGTGTGTTAACGGAAGAACTACAGCTTCTATAAGCTACAAAATAAAACAAATTCATCAAGGTACTGTACGTGTAATGAGCATACAGAGTTTAATCCATTGAGTGCTGGCACTGACATAAAATTGTCTGGCATTAGACACAGTAAAATAATCTGCATTTAGACAGTGAAAAATAATAAACTAGGGCATACATTTGGGAGCAATAGAACATAATGGATTAAAACCCATTGAGTGGCAGCACTCTCCGCCTGACGAGTAAAATCGTCTGGCGTTAGACAGAGTAAAATCTTCTGGCATTAGACAGACTAAATTATTGAGTAGGGCACGTCTGGGCGCATTGCCAATTAAAGGGTTAATCACATGTAAGAATGCTTCCAGTCTGGCTTTAAGCCAATGGACCTTTCACCTTTTGACTAAAATTTAGATTTCAACAAGTCTAGACAAAAATTTTATCACAGCTTGAAAGAGCATCACAAAATTAGTAATATTCCAAAGTTTCATTGCGAAATGTTGTAAAATGCGGATAATATAGCCTTGCGAAGTTTGCCATTTTCAGTCATTTTGTATTACGCGCGGGAAATACATACCTCCTTCCCCGTTTGTAATACAAAATGACTGAAAATTGCAAACTTCGCAAGGCTATATTATCCGCATTTTACAACATTTCGCAACGAAACTTCGGAATATTACTAATTTTGTGATGCTCTTTCAAGCTGTGATAAAAGTTTTGTCTAGACTTGTTGAAATCTAAATTTTAGTCAAAAGGTGAAAGGTCCATTGGGCGTCCAGGTATCATGGGACGCCCTACAACGAAAAAAGAGATGCCTTTGGACACGAAAAATTCTGGGGGAAAATCGTTTTCAACGATTTCCTTAAAAACCTTGAATGAGCTTTAGTGTGCCACGTAGATACTGAAATGAAGAGCTGTAAAACTTAAGAGATCCCAAATTCAAAGTTTTTCCGAAGGGACATAGTCCAGAAACCCGCTACAAGTGTGTCTTCATGGAAATTGGATGCCCTCTTTAAGAATCCTGGCAAAAGCCTGCTTCAAGTTAACTGAGTCCAAATTTTCTACAGGAATTCCTATAGCAATTTTTTTCCAAGTGCACATTAGTCGTATGTACCTCCTGAATCTGTGTATCTAAGCCTCCAATATCACTGTATTGTTCTGTCGGTCTTTCATCCAACTCCATTGCCTTGACTCTCGAGTCGTATTCTGTTGGTAGCTTCTCAAGGATCAGATAGGAATCTTTATTTACGCCCTGTATGTGTAGGGGAATGAGAATTCAATTGAGAATAATAAATACATACCGGTAGATAAAAGTGTTACAAATTATGACAAAAGCAGATCTTGCCAATGTCATAGACTGTATAAGTGACTGTATAAGCGACTGTATAAGCCTTCGTACAAAGGTCGAATTTTTAAAAAATTTTCAGGTCGCCCTATGTTAATTGTGTTATGAAGTATTCTCTTTATATATGCAGTAGATAATTGAGATTGTGTATAAAAAATGTTGGCAAATTATGCAAATATGCATGATCACTGAGATATTTTAGGGCTTTATTAGAACTACTTTACTATTTAAAGCTTTTCTCAGTCGCGAGAAGTGCTACTTTTGCAAATCTCAAATTCAACACCAGCCTGCATAATTACAGGCAGTTAGCCTGGGAAAGCTACACTGGTGGGAGGAGCTTAAAACTTATCCAAAGGGAGAGGGGGGCATAGATTTTCCAGGGGGTGGGTTGGGTTGGTGGAAGGGTTGTGATGCAGATAAACTTGGCATTCACTTACAATCAAATCTGCGGGTTTGAGTTCTTCTGGATCAACGAGTCCAATGACTGGTAAGAAATATGTCTAAGAAATAAAAAACACATTTAGCATAAATTTAATAATTATACCTTTTCCAAGAACTTTTTTAAAAATTCACATACCTAAAAAATATAACTTATAAAGATTATACCTGTCTTGTCGATGTTTTAATAACAGCACATTTTCCTTTCCTTTGGGAGTCCAGATCAACATTTGCACCCTCTTCTTCTGCCTAAAATATAGAGTTGAACAAAATTACATGATGTGCTTGAAATGAAACTGAAAGTTGGACAGAAATTTGGTCATAGTTCTTACCTGTTCTTGTGGATCGACCTCAAGCAACTAAAAACAATAATATAATCATTAGCAAGCTCCAGCAGTATTAGTTACTAAACTTTTAATACTTGAATGCATATTACCAAAACCTTGACTAAAATAACATGTGGGTAATTCCATGGTGACTCATGTTACATTCTGAACCAAACTATCAGAGTAATTTTGATCTGGTGTAATAACTAAATAAATATATTTTTTTCTGTCACATGTTTGCATGCAGGTACAAATAATGGTAAGCTACTGATTCACAGTAAAAATTAAACATTTGATTATAACATGACAAGATTGGTGGCCGTAAATTGGTGTGTGACTCATGTTACGACAAAGTGACATGAGGTAACACCAACCTAACTACTTTTGAATTTCTTTGGGAACCATAGGAAAGAGAAACTTACAATGTCTATCAAGTTACAGACTATATGTAAGGCAAACTACCAACACAAAGAAATTTTATATTTTGGATTACAATAGTAAGGATTGCTACATAATACATGTGACTCATGTTACGTGACTCATGTTACATAACTCATGTTACATAGAAAGTACATCTCAATATTTCAGTTCACAATTGTTTCCAATAGCTTCTGACAATTTTTTTTTTCAAAAAATGTCATCACTACCATGGAATTACCCATGTCATGTTTCAAAACACTTGTAATTAAATGTGACTACATTCCTAACATTAATTGTGAAATTGACATTTTGTTGATGGTGATGTCTGATGGAACTTGTGTTTATAGCAGCTTGATTATTAACAGTACATAATACTAGGCATAGGAATGTAGTCAAGATCCTGGATGTTTAGACACATAATCATTATGCTTGTTTGGAGCAAGAGAATGCATATACAGGTGTATGTACCACAAAATACCACACAAATTTACATGTTCCATATCTTTTGTCAAATACATAACATAGCTTGTTAAATATTGTAGTAATTTTAGTAAGTTACCCAATTAAATATATTAATTACCTCAATCACATTTGAGACAAGATATGGCAAGGTTTTGTTCACTTTTATTTTTTCTGTGTTTTCCTACAAGATACAAAAGAAATAGATATTTAAATATTATGGTAAAATTGCAAAATTTGGTTACAAAATGTTGTAAAATACGGAGCATATAATTGCATATTTTGTATATGTTTGTATTACGCGCGGAAATTGTTAATGCTAACAATTTCTGCACATAATACAAACATGCATGTATACAAAATTTGCAAACTACGCAAGGCTATATTTTCCAAGCTTTACAACATTTCGCAACCAAATTTTGCAAGTTTACTAAATTTCATTACATGTTCTTTTTAACTGTGGTGTTTGATTCCCTTCTCTTTACTTAGATTATACTATCAAAACAGCCTATAATTTTCTGATGTAATGGCCTTGATGGAAAGCAGGCCCTTGCTCAAAACGTCAAAGTTGCATCCCTATTGTTCCGATGCTTATTTCTAATTTTCTATACTATTTTCGTACTTTTATTTTATCTTTCATTGCCTGTTGTTCATGGTTAACACGCAATAGCTCACTTTTCATGATCTACAATTACAAAGAAAAGAAATATACAGTGATGTAAGAATATGTTTTTTAAAAAGCATCAATGAAACTTGCTAGTCTTCGAAGTACCTTTATGTCATTGTCCAACAGCCTGGTACGACTTGTAATTTCTTCTGTGGACATACGCAGAATTTCCTGATCAATTTCCTATCACGTTCGCAAAAATAAAATATTAAAATAAAGTGACTGAACAGCCAGTCATTTTAGAGCAGATATTTCATATTTCTTTCCCCAGAGTGCAAGTGGTCAAAAAACTAGTAAAGTTACACCACTGACACAAGTTTCTCATCTAGAATAGATTCTTGTATAACTTTTCGATCTGTTTGGGCAAAGTTAGATGGAAAAGTTGAGATGGAAAACTTGTCTGTTGCCAGATTTATATTAGACAAGTTTCTCATCTTAGACAAATTTCCCGTCCTCTAATGTGGATTCGGCTATCCTGGGCACATATGAACTCAAAGAATACAGGCTCAAATCCCATCCCAATCTGTCCAGGTTGGAAACTGTAGGTGTTCCGGCATAAAATGTTCTTGATATATTTATGCCACTGGTGTAAATCTTACTGATAAAATAAAATATTTGGCAATTTTGATGTTTTTGTGTAATATTGTGAAGATTTTTGAATATTGAAAGATTGATATTTGAAATAAGTGTATCGACTGCAATCAATTTAGGCCAATGGATGTGAGGTATCAGTTTACCGTCACCTAGAATTTCAAAAGTTGATGCGGATTTTTTTCATTATTCATCATTTTTCACAATTTGAATTTGTCAAATTTTGTCTTTGACTCTCTTTCGCTGTGGCTTCGCTACGCAGGCTATGGCTTCGCTAACTGTATAAACAAAGTCAGTATTTGCCAATAATTTCAACAGAAAGCCATTTTTGAAACACTTCCTATACAAATTTTACAAATATTGAAAAAATCACGAAATACTGAAAAATTTCACCTAAAATAGACATGCACGGGTGATGGTAAACTGATACCTCACTTCCATTGGCCTCACCTGGTGAGTGGTGTAAGCAGTCAGTGGCTTATTGACATAACCTCAGGCATAAAATTTTCATGGATTAATTCCAGCCTGAGTGAACCTGGCAGTCTGTTTAAATTTTCCAAGTGTTTTAACTCTCAAATTGTTTACCAGACATTTACTGGTTACGGTTACTATCGCACTACTATCATTTACTATCTACACGGCTAAAAACGCACAGGTTGTTCCAAGTTGATATCGACAGGCGTGAACAATGTTGTATGGCCAACTATGAACAAGTTGTCAACCATGTTGTTCCAAGTTGTTACAGTTGAATAAAGCTGTTCTTGTTGACAATAGTCACAATACTGTTCATAGTGGGCCGCCAGACTGCAGAGTATGGCAGTTTTCGACGAGATCTCGGGTGTGCAAGACAAAAATTCAGGTGTGCAAGTGTGCAATCCTCAGTTAACGTAGTCAAGTGTGCACTTGTAAATAGCTACATGTTCTAATGATATTAAACAATGATTGTTTATTTGTACAAATAACTGAAATTTCTGCCTCTCAGGAAAACAAAACGTGGTCCAAATTCTGACGAACAAACAAGAATATATATTTCGATCGGAGTTAAAAGTCATTATGAACACGTACAAAATAGCGCGTTTTTGATACACTTTGTGTCCTGTAAAAGGAAAATGTGCATGTCCTTGTAATTGAGTTGTAAATGGAAAAGTGTGCACTCGAAAATGTCATTTCCGACAATGTAGGGACTCCAAATTTCAAAAATTTTCCGCTCGGCGCCAACCATGGTGGCGCCTCGAGGAAATCGGACCAATTATAAGTTCTCTTGTGTGCATGCTTACATGCTATATGGTTTTGTTTAATCATAACAACCTGATGATCGCAAAACTCTGCTGTAGATAGAAATTCGAAACTTTAATGGACATTTTTCATTTGCGCCCATGAATCAGCGTTCCCGATTTTCAGGTGGTTGTTATATTACACTTGTCTTAGAAGTCCTTATTTTAATGCCTGACAAAACTGGAAAATATTTTAAATATGTTTAAGTGTGCAATACCATTGGCCAAAAAAAATCTCGGGTGTGCACTTGCCGTACTCTGTAGTCTGGGTGGGCCGCACAACCTTGTTCACGCCTGTTGATATCAACCTGGAACAAGTTGTTGATTTTTACGCGTGTATGTAACAAAGCTATAATCATTATAAATATATGACCAGCAGTTTAAACTAAATTCAAATTAGCAATTTTTAATAGAAATTGAATTGTTGTTTAATATGCCAATACCACGTTTATTTAAACGATGACGACTAAATAATATTGGATATAAACTTAAGTTTCTTTATTATTTGTAGTGGACAAAAAAGTTTGAAAAATTTGAAAGAAAAATGCACAAACCTCGCCATCATCCCAAATTGCATTATCTTCCAAAGTGGTCGCCATTTTGAAATGTTGGACGTGAAGGGATATTATGGGTCATGACAGGATGTTAATGACCATGTTAGGGTACTAACCATTGTACTAACAGATCACATAAGGACATTTTGGGTATTATCGACGGGCAGTGCATTAAGTACATATATGTACATAAACATACCCATCATGAACGTTGGATACAAGAGGATATTGTAGGTCTTTATTGAACACAAAATATACATCTACGGATAGTTAGGGTACTAACACTAAGAACATAGAACCACTTTGACAATTAGGGTAATAAAGCACATCAAAGTACTTAGATGTACACAAATGTACCTAAACGGCCAAACCCCATCAATAAATGTGCTTAAATGTCCATAAATGTACCTAAAATCTACCATTATGATTTGGTTAGCACTATTTTCCATCCAGCAAACTGACCTGACGTCATTTTTGCAAGATAGAAGAGGTGTTAAATGGCTATGTAACTAACCCAAACCCTACCCCTACTCTAACCCCTAACCTCAACCCCAACTCTAACCCTAACCGAATTAATAAAAAAATCCAAAAAGAAACGACTTCACAAAATCGATAGGGCGGTTTGCTGGATAGAAAAAAGTGCTGACCTTATGATTTATCAATATTGACCGCACCTAAATTTTTTTAATATTTCTCTGCATTTACAAAAAAAAATCATTTTATTTATGATGTAAAGCATTTGTGAATATCTTTATTATGTAACACAACAATGTCTCTCCTAACTAAAGATTATTACTGATAATAGACGATTATAACATTGTCTCCATCTATTACGCAATATTATCCATTTAAGATCTACGTTTAATATTATCCATTTAAGATCTACGTTTTCGTAACTCCCGACTTGAAGATTTCTGTGGTAGTTCCTGCAGTTCATATTTTGGGAAGTAATTTGGTAATATGTCTTTGAAGTAAGCTCCAAGGGAAATTCCTGCCAATCCGTGATCTGATGTGCTCTAAAAAAATTAATTAGAGGATTAGAGGATATGTGACTAGATCTAATCGACTTCTTATGTGAGGATATGTGACAAGTTCTAATCGACTTCTAGGACTGGACAGTTTTGATTAAGTCCCAGGAATGCATGGGTGAAGTTTTGATCAAGTTGTAGGATTGGATAAAGTTTTGATCAAGTCCTAGGACTGGATGAAGTTTTGATCAAGTTCTAGGACTGGATGAAGTATGATCAAGTCTTAGGATTGGATGAAGTTTTGATCAAGTTCTAGGACTGGATGAAGTTTTGATCAAGTCTTAGGATTGGATGAAGTTTTGATCAAGTTCTAGGATTGGATGAAGTTTTGATCAACTCCTAGGATTGGATGAAGTTTTGATCAAGTTCTAAGACTGGACGAAATTTGATATCGAGTTCTAGGACTGCAGGAAGTTTTTATCACGTCCTAGGACTGGATGAAGTTTTGATCGAGTCCTAGGACTGAATGAAGTTTTGATCAAGTCCTAAAAGTAGGAAAGGTTGGGTCAAGTTCTTGCACTTTCGTAAAAATAATTAATTGGGAGAAAAAGATGTCATTTCAAAACTAAACTCAGTTTTACTAGACGGGAAACTCGTTTTGCGTCACAAAATATTTCATTCAAAAACCAATGTATATACTTACCAAATTATATTGATCGCTATTGGCAAACACAAGTTTGATATCATTTATACAATCTTCATAGCTATTATATTCAAATGCATTTAATTTTCTTTTCATCGTGCCGAAATCCATTGGACATGCAACAACTTCCAAATAATCAGGCACCTAAAACATAGGTAGAATACGTGGTTGGAAAGGGTCCTTGATGAATCTCAACAGATAACTCGGTTTAGACACGTCTGTACAAACCTCAGAAGTGTCAACTGGTTCAGTAAATGGCCAGCTATCTTCATGATGCATTAGATCTTTTAACAATTTCTCGCACATTCTTAACTACAAAGAAAGCAAGATAAGTCAGACAGGTATATATAAGATATACAGGGTGTATACAAAAAGTTAGTTTAGTCGTATTTATAAAGATAGCTCTCAGTGACACCTTTACTGAATCATAATTATATAAGCTTGTTCATTGGCATTCGGCTTCCTATATCCAGCTTTCACATTTGGTATGAAAAAGAACCAACCTCAGAATTTTGTCTTGGTTTTCTCTTCGCTACATGACATTCATCTTCTGAGGAACTACACTTTCTTTTTCTACTTGAACGGCGCGTGTTTTCTTCATTCCTGAAACAGGAAAGAAATTTCAAACAAAGTGTTACTTCTTTTGAGAAATAGCTACTGAATGTTTCAACCAGAAATAAATCTGGACCAACTTTATACTAGATAACTCTAGACCACCTATCAAGAATCGACCCAGTGTACTGCAAGAGGAAACTTATACCAAACATACTTTATGTATACTGGATAGCTCTATCAGTTCTTCACTGTTCGTTCTGCCTGGAGGGTGCAGTAAGAATCATCCCTTAGTGTTCCCTTAAGAGGTAGAGTAAGAGCCATCTCTTATCTCGTGTTATACTGCAAGAGGAAACCTAAACTAAACTAACTTTATTTATACTGGATAGCTCTGCCAGTTCTAAACTGTTTTCCCTAGAGTTCCAGTAAGGATCATCTCTTACTGATCCAGTGTTACCACAAGAGGAACCTCAACTAACTTTATTTATACTGGATAGCTCTGTAAGTTTTAAACTGTTCTTCCTAGAGGTTCAGTAAGGATCATCTCTTATTGATCCAATGTTACTACAGAAGGAAACCTTTGCTAAACTAACTTTATTTATACTGGATAGCTCTGCCTCTATCAGTTCTAAACTGTTCTTCCTAGAGGACCAGTGAAGGTAAATAAATCTTTTATTGATCCAATTGAGACAAGATTATACTCAAAGATGTGATTCAAAGGGTACTAAATAATCAAGAGTTATAGTTACACACCTCTCCAGCCTTGTTCGTTTTTCTCTTGGTGAACTATTCTCATTTTCAGAAGTGTTTTCGTTTAAATATTCCCTGATGGTTTCACGACATTTCTTGTTTTGAATATCCTTCTGTCTGTCTTCAGTGTTGTCTAATGAAGCTCTTTTCTTTCCTTTTCTCTTGTTGGCTTTCTTCTTTTTCTTTGACCTGTAGAGATCAAGACAAGAAAACGTTTCGCTCTTTGCTGCTGTGTCTTCAACTATTCTATTTATTGATGTTATAACTGTTCTACATAGAGATCTGTACGCGTAAAAATCTCACATCTTGTAGCAAGTCTGCCAACAAGCTATCAACAAGTTGTGTTCGCGCTGTTTGTCCCAAGTTGTCAACAAGTTAGGAACAAGCAGTTAACAACTTGTAACAAGCTTGATGGCATTATCAGATTTGTTGCAAGGTTGTTCCAACAAGTCCGATACAGTCATGATATAACAATATTGTTACAACCCTGTGTGTCGTCAACCTTGTAACATTCTCGTTATATCGTGACTGTATCAGACTTGTTAGAACCTTGTAACAACTATGATAATGCCATCAAGCTTGTTACAAGTTGTTAACAGCTTGTCCCAAACTTGTTACACAAAAACAACTGGGAACAAGCAGTGCGAACACAACTTGGCGACAGCTTGTGAACAGACTTGTAACAACTTGTTTGCAGACTTGTAACAACTTGTGCGTTTTTACGTGTGTAAGGTACACTGTTAACGGGGATGCATTTAATAATTTTGTTTGCGGAAACACCACGTAAATTTATTACTGCAGTAATAAATTTACGTGGTGTTTCCACAAACAAAATTATTATATGTTTTATCGCCATGCAAACGTACAAAGAACTTAGGGATGCATTTACTGGGGCGTGCAGGGTGTGTGCATTCCTCCTAGCCTTGATAAGGGAGGAGGGGGTTGTGAATTTTCTTATCAAATATATTTTTTGGATTTGAAAAAGCAACTACAAAAATAAAGATAAAATAGACACAAAATGAGAAATTTTGTCAACCAAGACGACTAGTGCCATTATGGACTTGTTCTCAGTTGTTGTAACAAGTTTGGAACAAGCTGTTAACAACTTGTAACAAGCTTGATGGCATTATCAAACTTGTTCCAAGGTTGTTCTACGAAGTCTGATACAGCCATGATATAACAAGAATGTTCCAAGGCTGACGACACAAGATTGTAACAATATTGTTATACCGTGACTGTATCGGACTTGTTGGAACAACCTTGCAACAAGTCTGATAATATCAACAAGGTTGTTACAAGTTGTTAAACAGCTTGTTCCAAACTTGTTGACAACTTGGGACAAGCAGTGCGAACACAACTTGTTGACGACTTGTTGGCAGACTTGCTACAAGATGTGAGGTTTTTACGTGTGTACTATATACTGTGTCACAACTAGACCAAAAAAAAAATATGTGGGTTTCCGGTTTCTTCTTATAAAAACTTAGGTAGGGTAGGTCGGTTTTAACTTTTTTTTTAACTTTTTTTTTTAATTTTCCGAACAAGCGGACGCTATTTTGTTTAGTCAGTGCTTCCACATCCAAAGATAAATTTCCCTGATATTGCCTCAAATTTCAATTTTCCACAAACTTTTTTCTCTAAGTGGAAACACTTACAACCATGATCCAATAAAAAAGTTTAGGGTCGGGATTTCGACGTCCAAAAGCTAGGTAGGGTCGGGAAACCGGAAACCCACATATTTTTTTTTTGGCCCTAGGGATTGAATGTCAATTGGGACTTTCGTCCTGTTTTCATTCCCTGCCACAAACTGTAACTACTGTCTGCAATATGTTTCGTATGTAATCTGTGGTAAATCTATTAAACTAAACTAAACACCTCATACATATTATTTTCCATCCTACCTTTCACTCTTGGCCTCTTCCTTCTCCCTTTCTCGTCTCTTAGCGCGGTCAGCCCATTCCACAGCCGCTGTATCATCAACATCAAATCCAGACTCCTCTGAACTTGACTCGGAATAAGAGCACTCGAGATCAAAATATTCCTCACGGTCTGCGGGAAGGCTACGTTTCTTTGCCGTGGGTCGCCTGCCCTGACAACTACAACACTGCCAAACACCTCTGAAATTTAGAAATAGTACATGATGAATAGACAATTCCCATTATAGATTAATTATAAAACTAGACAAGGAGATGCCAATAAATCACTACAGCAAGAAAGAGCATACAAAACTTAGTAAAATTGCAAAGTTTGGTTGCGAAATGTTGTAAAATGCGGAAAATATTGCCTTGCAAAGTTCGCAATTTTTGTATACTTTTTGTATTGCGTGCGAAATTCCTACCACATTTGGGCCGAAAATGGTAGCAATTTCCGCACGCAATACAAAAGTATATACAAAATTTGCAAACTTTGCAAAGCTATATTTTCCGCATTTTACAACATTTCGCAAGCAAACTTTGCAAATTTACTAGTTTTAGTATGCTCTTTTTAGCTGTGGTGATTTATTTGCATCTCCTTGCCCAGTTTTAAAATTAGTCTATAATGGGAATTGTCTATTAGTGTCATAAAACAGTGTATGCTAAAGAAAACTACCTGAATAATATAGAAAAAATTCGAAGAGAAAATGGTTGGGTAAACAAAATTTTGAGTGAGTAAAAGGTTGGGTAAATGAAAAACAAAACAACTCAAGGGTTGGGTAATAAAAATGTATTGTCATTTCCGAAGAATTAGTTTAGTTTATTATTTACCCACAAAAATATTTACAAGTTGAATGTTTAATAGAATAGTATAACGGGCTAGAGACCTCTGGAAATCCTGTTGGACTTTTATGACGAGGCCCCTAAAGTTTTAGTGTTCAGTAATACTGTAAAAATAGATTATGTACAATAAAGGACAATTTGCAATGAAAAACACAAACTATTTACAAACGGTCAACGGTCATATGCTAATACGATATTTAAATCAGTCAGAGTCACTATCTTGATCATCTTCCGATTGGCCAGGAGGCGAATGGTGTCTCCAAAGAAAGTACATGTGCAGACAACACGAAACTTTGAACTGCTATTTGTAAAATTCATGTCACAGAAGTGGTAAAGGACATGTATGACAACTGAATGGTATCCTTTTGTAAAGTTTTTGGCCGGGGGTGGGTATTTATTTTTTTATTGATATTTGAGGTTGGGTAAAATTTTGACTTTTTAATGGTTGGATCAGAAAATTGTTCACCCGCCATAAATAATGACTACAGTAGTCCCTTATAATCAATCAATCACAAAACCTATTGAAAGATAGGCTACTATATAGCGACCCTGTCATCACACCAGATTAGTTGCTGAGGTGATAAATCAATACCTGGGAATATTTCTCAATGGTGGATCATGACATTCTTTATGGTAAACTTTGGGACAGTTATCACAACAGATAAGTTCACCATCACCACCGCAGACATCACAATAATCATCGTTCTCCTCCTGACTTTCTTCGTCAACAATGTCAGGCTAAAAGAGAACAAACATGCTCATACAAAAGGGTCGGCATGAAGCTCTAGGAATATGTTCTGTGATTAGTTGATTATGACAATGACAAAAGAATAAGTTATAGAATGGATTTTCTAAAGAACGAAGCAAGAACAATATTCCTTTTGTTTATGTAAGCCAATTACGTCCTGTCATTGTCATAATCAGCCAGTCACAGAACATCTTCCTAAAGCTTCGTGTTTACTGATACAAAAAGCCGCGGGAACCTGTGCCATGCCATACATTATTACTGTAAAGTAGCAATCTGCAGGCCTGCAAATAGTTATTTTACTTGCAAGGACAAATGTCTGACCAAGCCAAAAATTGGTTGGACATTTAACAATTTTTCTCAGACAACGGACAAAGTAAAATTTTTCATATTTTTTTTAAAAATTAGCACGATGTTTTTTGCCTGGTCATGTTAGTCCGCAGTGCAATGCATCTAAAACTGAGTATATATCTACCAGTCCTAATGCATCAGTAAATTATAGTTCAGGTTATACATCACTTTAATTTCTACTATGTTATATACGAAGGTGATGTAGATTTATAATTAAATCTTACGGCTTAATGCAGCAAGAAATAGTGGAGAAGTGCTGTCTATATTGCTTTCTTGGTGGTTTCATTAATAAAAAAATGCGTTAAATAAACAATTTTTGAGATTGGAGATTTGACCAGCATAAATCGGTCTGCATGGTCACATGTCCGGTCCCATGCATAAAAAGCTTTGATGAGACAAAAGGTAAAATTTGGCCGGACAATGTCCAGCACTACCGTGTAGGCCTGATCAATAACGGATCATACCTTTTTCTTCGTGACTGCTCGCCGTGTTCTTTGCTCGTCAACGGGCTGAAAATATTCAAATGAGCATTGTCATATAAATACTATTTGCAACATGAGCAATTGTTGTTGTATCGGATATACAAACTCGAGCCGAAGTAAAAAGCTTGTGAAACGTCTTGATGAGAACATTCGTATTCTTCAACAAATTAAAATAAATGAATGATATTTGGTGAAAAAATGGAAGTTAAAGTTGATGTAAATCAGCATGATTTCTGTATCAGATATACAGAACTCCTTCACGCTCATGATTTCTTTTTGAATTTTCTTCATGAATTATTAATGAGTTTCACAACCGAGTCAGCTAGTTGTACTTACTATACAGACTGGACACAGCCAGTCTTCGTCAGGTACATCGTCTAAGGCGGGTCTTAAACATCCAATATGAAATCCTTTCCGACATTTGTCGCATACAGCCATGGTTCCTGCACTACGTCGACATATCTTACATTTCTACAAAAGAAAACAAATCAATATACCCATGCAGTTACAATGATAATAAGATATTCGACGGACCTCTAGAGAGAACAGTTTAGAACTGATAGAGCTATCCAGTATAAATAAAGTTAGTTTAGTTTAGATTTCTTCCTGTAGTAACACTGGATCAACAAGAGATGATCCTTTATGAACCTCTAGAGAGAACAGTTTAGAACTAATAGAGCTATAGAGTATAAATAAAGTTAGTTTACTTTGGACACAGTTTAGAAATTATCAAGTGTAATCTTACTATGAACAATGTGCTTATATCCCACATAATACAGTAATCTAACATCGCGATACAAAAGCATAGTCTTGATGACGTCATCGAGTCTTTCACGGCTTGAACCCAGTCCTTTTTCAACCATTCTTCTCGATCGCCCAACTTTTTCCACAAACTTTTGATTTTCACTGCGGTAGCAAGTTCCAGCGCTAACGTCACCTGCGAAAAACAATGTTACTGTCATACTAATATACATGAAGAAATTTCTCAATTCTGATTGGCCAAGAACAGTGCAATTTTTTCGAAATACAGTGCCACAAAATGAAATACAATGCAAATTTCATTGACTTACAGTCGTGCCAATAGAAGCGTTACGAAAAATGTTGACCAGTTCATTTCCTAACTTCGAGGAGTTCCTCTGAACAATTCCTCAACAATTTGATAAGTTCCTTAAAAAGTTCCTAACTTCCTGTTTCATTGACCAATCAAATTTTATATTTTAGCAATCTGATTGGTCAACGAAACAGGAAGTTAGGAACTGTTTAAGGAACTTATCAAATTGTTGAGGAATTGTTCAGAGGAACTCCTCGAAGTTAGGAAATGAACTGGTCAACATTTTTGGAACGCTTCTATTGGCAAGACTGTGAGATACAGCCATTTCTAGCTGAAAATAATACAAAAACCCAAATATTTATAAATCACGAAAATGGCTGGCGTTTTCAGTAGATTTTCTATTAAAATGATTTCGCATGTGACCTACTTCGCACGTGACCTACTCACGCAGATGACTGCATAATTTTTTCATGTATATTATATTAATAAGTAATAGTATGGTTTCTCGTGGAATTTGGAAAAACATACAGTCCTGAGTTTTTCAAAGACTTCAAATTACACTCGCCCTTCGGACTCATGCAATTTTGAAAGTCTTTGAAAAACTCACTCGTGCATGTTTTTTTCCAAATTGCACAAGAAATCACAGTATTACCTATACAAATTAATCGAGAAGTCTAATTTTCTGTTAACGTTTATATTACCAGGGGTTTTTTCAGGGATTTTTTAGGGCCGTAAAACGGCCCCAAAAACTCAATCTTGAATTGAGTTTTGAAACTGAATCTTCTCATCAAAAGATTTTGTGCAGTAAAATGAAGTTGTTTGAGTTAAATTCATGACCTGTGCAAATTAGTTTTCAGTTGAAAACCCGATGGAAATCATTTCACAACACAAGAAAAACAACGCATTTGCCGTCTTTAACCAGTTTATAGTGTCCTTTAGTGCCCCTGCTTTAACACATTGCATCTCAAATACACTAAAGTGGACACATGTTTCAACCTCCCGGTAGGGGAGACAGCCACCCCAGACCCAGCTGTTCAGCTAAACTCAATCTTCTCTGCAAAACGGAGCCAAGAGAAAATCCTGAAAAAAACCATGATCACACTCAGTGGGGTATGCTAATCATTCTTACTTGCAGCTGACAGCTAAGCTGAATCACGAAGGACGCAGCTCAACCTGATCGAGACGAAGGCTTTCTAAGGACGCCTATATGGCAGCCACCTTATGACTCACGTCTGATTACAGAGCACAGCTACGGTGAAAGGTTTGATTAAAATATATAAAAATATTTTCAAAATATTTTTACCAGATCAGCAAAAGAGGATCGCGACATGACATTCTCCGACCAGGTTTCTAAATTTTCCATGCATCCAATATCTCCTTCAATGATACGGCTGGCCAGATAAGACATTTCCTGAACATAGAACAACACTGATTCTTATAGCAATAACTACAGTATACGAAGCCAGAAAGACGAGGAAGTCAAAGAGAAGAAACCATGGAGAATTAAAGGTTTCTAAATCTCCCATAATACACTCCATGTCAAACATATATACACACGTAAAAATCCCACAACTTGTCAACAAGACGTGTCAAGATGTGTTCACAACAGGCTTGTAGCAAGCTTGTCAACAAGCTGTAACAATACTGTTGTTTTATCAAGTTGCTACAAGGTTGTCATTCACAACTTGTTGAATTGCAGGACGATAACAAGTTGTTGGAACAACTTGTAACAAGTCTGTTGAGGTCAACAACCTTGTAGCAAGTTGCCAACTTGTCAACAAGCTTGGAACATGCAGTGCGAACACATCCTGTTGACAAATTGTTGGAACAGCATTGCTACAAGTCTGCTGCAGGATTGCGGCAACTTGTGCGTTTTTTGCAACGTGTGCACACGGACCTCTAAGAAGAACAGTTTAGAACTGACAGAGCTTTTCAGTGTAAAATATAGATAAAGGTTTTCTCGTCTCTAATTTCCCCTCCATAATCCAGGATTGGAAGGCTGTTTTCTAAATTAAATGACCATGAAGTTTACGATGTTGTAATGACTTACCCCTTTCAGAATTCCCAAATGATCAATGTTGTCTATGGTCAGGTATATATGTAGCACTTAGTCGAGCAACGTTTTTAAATGGCCTGCATATTTTAGGAATACTTGAAAGTAAATATGAATGTACCGATGTTGTAATGGCTTACCCCTTTCAGAATTCCCAAATGATCAATGCTGTCTTCCTCTGAGCAGGCTTTCGATGAATCTGTTTGTCTATACGACATGAAATTAATAAAATATTTTTATTCCAGCCAGAATCTGAAAAGCATTAATTCTAAGGAATAGACCAAATTATCGTAATCATATTGAGATCACATGACCCGCTTAGTTCAAGTCGATATTACATAGAATTCTCTCATCAAGGGTTAAAATACAACACCTTTTTTCAAAATGCAGTTTCTTTGTTTGTTTCTTCAATCCTTTCAGTTTCTGTTTGAGAGCGCTTTCGTTTTCATCCTGAACATTAAGCGAGGATATTAAACGATCTATCTCTGCTTTTGTGTTGTAATAAAACCATGACTCCTTGCTGCAAGAAAAGATGAAGCAATTTTGTGATAACAAGAACAAAATCAGATTTCACAAAAAAATATCATCAGCAACAACATCAACAACACCACCACCACCACCAATAACAACAATAACAACAACAACAACAACAACAACAACAACAAGAGAAACTACAGCAACAAAAACAACAGCAACTACAACAACAAAAAAACACAACAACAATAACAACCCAACAACACAGCAACAACAACAACACAGCAACAGTTAACAACAACATAGCAACAACAACAAAACACCAACAACGACGCAACAACAACAACAACAACAGATTTCACAGTAATAGCAACAACACAACACAACAACACAGCAGCAACAACAGATTTCACAAAAAATAGCAACAACAAAAACAGAACAACAATAGCAACAACAGAACAGCAACTACAACACAACGCAACAACAGAAACATAACTAATAAAACAACAACAACAACAACAGAATTCACAAAAATAGCAACAACACAACACAATAACACAGCAGCAACACAATAACACAACAGCAACAGATTTCACAGAAAATAGTAACAACAGAACAACAATAGCAACAACAGAACAACAATAGCAACAACAACAACAACACAACAACAGAAACATAACTAATAAAACAACAACAACACAACAACAATATAAACAACAACAAAAGCAAATCAGCGGTCGTCGTCGCGTCATTAATAGAGAGGTTCAGATTTTTACTACCGCTATCATCAATGGACTATTAACCAATCAGATGTGTTTGATATATCTGATTAACCAATCAGATGTGCTTGATATATCCGATTAACCAATCAGATGCGTACTAAGCCTGTGAGAGGTAATGGTAGTGGAAGTCAAATCTGAACCTCTATAATACCTTGATAACGGATCTATCTTTCCATCTTTGAGATTTTCATTCTCCACATCCCCAATGTCAGGACACTCCGTCGCCTTTATGTCAGGGGAAGCTATCTTCTCTACAAACAATGCTTCAGGATGTGACTGAAACAACCAGTATCGACTATGATTACGATCGCTTCCCAAAGATTCAAGACGACGACAATCCCTCACTTGGTTTATCATCTCCTAGAATATGAATTATAATATCGAAGATGATTAAGTGTTAACTTCTAAGTTTGAAGTGCCTAACAATGGCCGGATTTTGAGGGGAGGCGCTCGCCTGAGATCGTTTTGCACCTCCCTGAGAATTTTTTCACCTCCCCTGAAAAGTCATGCACCTCCTCTTGGGAAAGTTTCAATGATAGATCAAAGTGAAAATTTGACTTTTTTGGTTGTTTAGGGTCTACACTTCGAAAGAAAGTTTTTCTGTAAAATTGAAACAGTGATAGCCATTCATCTCTGTGCGAAGAATCCTTGTTGTGCAGTCATAATTCATTAATACACTGGATACATATGTACACTACATGCATACGTCATGACGTTGACTTTGGCTCGTTCTAAGCTCTAACTTTCCATGGGGATCGTGAGCTAGACTGCTGCACCTCCCCTAAATTTTTTTCCACCTCGCCCACTATTTCCACCAAAATCCAGCCTTACCACTAACCCCAAATGCATGTGATTTTTACTACCGAAACACTCGGAAACGAAACGCTGAAAACTTCGTGAAGTGAAATGTTCAAAAAATTTTGTACAAACCTTAAACCGTTCAACTTTTTGCTTTTTCTGATATAACTTTTCACTGAAAGAACACAAAATAATCTGTAAACAAATCTGAACGTGTGTATATTTGGGTGTGAAAATAACACGAATTTTGATATTATTCTGTTTCATTCGTTAAAACTACCTGTAACAAACCTGCAGCAGACTTGTAGCAATGCTGTTCCAACAATTTGTCAACAGGATGTGTTTGCACTGCTTGTTAAGCTTGTTGACAAATTGTGAACGGCTTGTTGACAACTTGCTACAAGGTTGTTGAGGCAGTTGAGCTCAACAGACTTGTTACAAGTTGCTCCAACAATTTGTTGTCCTGCAATTCAACAATTTGTCAACAAGTTGTGAGTGACAACCTTGTAGCAACGTGATAAAATA